AAAGGACATTAATTTAGAGGAGATGCCTGAGCCAAATCCAACCTTCCCAGAGGCCAGGCTCAGCTCCAAAGTGTCCTCCCAAATGTTCTGGGAGAAAAGCCGTAGAATGAGAAAGATGCTGTCTGTACCCTAGAAGGAAGGAGCAAGAATTCCCAGTGCCTTTGGCTGCTAGTCTATGCCCCTGGTTCAGGTTCCCTAACTGTCCAGCAGTAAAGCACTTTCACCAACATCCCATTTTTGGAAGGCTCCAGAGGACAGACACCCTTTTAAACCAAGGTAACTTTGGTTCTGCTAAATACCAACCATCACTGTGTAATGATGCTACTTCCTGTCTGGCTTCTCTCTTGGTAGCACTAGTAATCCTTGAAGGCATTAGGACTATCAGTGTCAGGATCCTGCTGGAATATTCTAAAATGTACCTGGCCACTAGCCACCGGCAAAGGTTAGTGGCATAGACATAAGTCACCGGGGAGCAAACAGACATGACAAACCAGGGAAAATGTAGGAATCAACCACTTTGGAATTACCTTGTCATTCAAAAGGTGAGACTTTTCTTATCTGGCAGGTGTGTGAGACTCTGTGTGTGTGTGTGTGTGTGTGTGTGTGTGTGTGTGTGTGTGTGTGTGTGTGAGAGAGAGAGAGAGAGAGAGAGAGAGAGAGAGAGAGAGAGAGAAATACAAAAGACAAAGTTATAAAAACAGGGACCAAGAGAGAAAAAGATCAAGTGTGTCTGCAATGGTGAAGCCCCTAGGCCAGGGGTTGCCTTTGGCCCTGAGCATAGGGCCAGTTCAGCGGTGCGCAAACAGGGTAGAGCAGTATGCAGATGGGACATGAACAGCCTGACTCTTCCCTCAGCCACCCTTGGCTGTGAAGTTGCACAAGGGCAGACTGTGATCAGCTGTCATCTATTTTTCCTCAAGTCCAAAGCAGGCAAACAAGATGTCTGCCTAGTTAGACATGGCTTAAAAATGGGACAGGAAGGATGACTCATCTATTTGCAGAAAGAATAGACAACATCAGTGTAACAGTTAGCCCGAAGAAGCTTAAAAGTTTGTCATCATCCCAGAAATAACCAAGAGCCCTCCAAAATGTAGCTTTTCAGCTACCCTGTCCCCAGAGTGATTCTGGGAGTCTTCCAGGACTCTGGGAAGGCAAAGCAGAAGAGATGGAACATGTCAACAAGAGTGGACTAGAACCTCATCCTTGGGGGGGATCTGGCAGTAGTAACAGTTTTACCAGGAAAGGAGCTGCAAGGGTCCCTGTCAGGATCCTGGCAAAACCTCAACTTACCCCATTCTGCACCCTGAAAAAAGCCACACTCAAGGAAAGTTCAGGGAAGATAATCTGTTTATTAAAGCAATAGATCCAATCGAGAACACAAACTGCAAAAGAAACTCAGTCTGCTCCAAAAAAGCAGACACATCACAGCAGGTGGGCCACAGGGTACTGTTTAAGTTTCTCTCCCATCACCTTTTCCAACCACCCTATAGTGCATAAAACCTTGAGAGTACATAAGTAGTTGAGTTTTCCCCTCCAAGTGCACAAAGAGCGATAAAAACATTCCACAATTTGACTTTGGTGAATCAACTCAAAACATTGAGAAATGATTGTTTCCCTCCCCAATGTATCTTTTGGAGTGAGTGTAGTGAGATGTTTTATATTTGTATATATAATATACCTATACATATATATATATATATATATATATATAGACTGTGTACAAGTACATCAGCAAGCTTTAATAAAGGAAGACATCAGCAAGAGGCACAGCAAGAGACACAGGCTGTCTATCCTTAAGACATAAGTAGGAAGGAAAATTTCTTGATTCATCATCCATTCCAACTGCACCAAGCCATCCCCATGGCCTGCAACTATCCTTTGGACCTGGCCAGTATTTTCAATTGTCCATCTGCTTAACCTGACTTTGTAAATACTTACCAGCCCATCCTCCCCAAGGAGATTCACAGGGAAGAATGTGGATCCAATCAGCTTTCCATTTGTATTAATTGGGAATAAGTGTGATTAGTCCATATGTAGGGGGCAGAAATTTCCAAAGCCAGTTCCAAGGCACCTCAAGGCATTTCAGTCCTGAATAATTGTGCTTTGTTCTTAAAAGCTAAATTCCATGGGTTGGCCAGCTCACCTCTCTTTACAATGGCCCTTGATTAGAAAGAATAGACAACTAGGAGGTTCTGAGAGAGCAGGAGAGGTGGGCTGTTGAGAAAAAAACAGCAGACTGGACCCAGCAGAGGGCACTAATCAGAGCATGCAGCCAGAGTAGGGCTTGAACCCCACAGCGCAGAAAAAGAAACAGCTTGCTGGTACAAACTAGAAAGCAAGGTAGAGAGCTGGCAGCTGTGCAAACATCTCACGCTTTCCCACCTCTCTTCACAAAAGTCTTATTTTGTTCCCAACCTTATCGCCCTGGGGGAGGCAGCTCTATGAGACTTCTGGAGGAGATTCTAAGAGGCTTTGAGAAAAAAGGTGCATATGAGGGTGGGCACCTGGGGCAAAGGTTGTTCCTGGCCCATCCTTATCTGCTCAGGCCCCTGAGACCCAGGGAGAGGGCTTGCCCTCCCTTGGCCCCATTGGGTCAGGGCAGAGAAGAGAAGTAACGCAGAAGTCTTGAGCTACTTTACAGAGAGTTAGCAGTTCTCAGAATAAACCTAGGGAATCTTACAAATAAATGCCCTAAATGTTATGAGTCCTGAAAAAAGAAAGGTCCCCAGCCAGCATCAGGACAGATCCTCACTCATCCCAGGAGAGGAGGGCACTTGAGGGGTTGCCAAAGAGTGCTATCTGCAAACTATGGAAGTGTATTACAGACACCCTTGGTTTCAGCTGGCAACCTCTCCCCTCTCAGCTGGTTGGCTTGAAAGATGGGCGATGTCTGCTTGCCCCGGGCATTCTGGTGGCTTAGCTGACCTCCTCCCTGGCAGTGTGTTGATTGGCAGTTAGGTACTGAACAGAAGAGTTAGAATTTTGGGGTGGGCCGGACCCACCCCACCCAGGAGCTATCTGGCCGGCTGGCCATCCCCACTATGCCTGGCCTCTCTTCCCTGTTGTATCTTCCTCCTTTCTTCCTATTCCTTCCTTCCCAGGGCTCAGACTCTGCAATCTATTCCTTCTTCTCTAATTCCAGCCCTGGAAGTAGTGACTGTGCAAATGGAATTAGATGCACCAAAAAAATTAATCTTGGTCCCCGCAGGGCTCGCCTGGCAGTTCCCAACTCTGTTATGGCTTTGTGTGCATCCCCAGCACCTGACATAGTGCCTGGCACATAGGAGATGCTCAATAAATGGAAGTGAATTAAACTGAATCTCCCATATGCTCACTCCCCAAATAGACCATCTAATTGGCAGATTCAGAGAGTTGTCCCTGAGACTGTCACTGTCCCATCTCTGCCCCTTTCCCCTAGACTCATTCCTGCCCTGAGCTCTGGCTCCCTGAGCCTGGGCAGGACCTGAGCTCCTGGAAACCTGGGAAGAGGCTCAGCCTGGGGCAGGGGATAGGGCATTGCCAGCGGCTCTGTCCTCACTGCCACCATTCCATCCCTGCCTCAGTCAGAGCCTGGAGAGGCTGCGCTCCTGGGAGATGAGCACACCTCCCTCACCTCACCTCCCTCCCTACCAGCCCACAGAGGCTCCTCCCACCAGGACAACTTTGGCTCTGTTCATTCAAACTGGAGACTGAGAAGTCTAAGAAGATGATAGGGCCCTCAGTTTTTGTCAGCTTGAACCTCAGTTTCCCCATCTGTAGTATGATTTGGCTAGTTGATCTCTGAGGGTCTTCCAAGGTAGTATTCTTCACATCAGCAGCTTCCCTCTCTGTCTCTCTCCCTCGCTTGAGATTCCCTCTTAATTGTGAGTAAAATGGCAGTGAATGTTGGCTCTCCACAAACACTACTTTCTTTCCCACAAGGGCGTGGTTGGGGTGGGGAGGGTGTAATATGGCTCTAGCGGTGACATGGCTGCAGCATCTCCCCTCATGCTTCCTTTAGGGCGTTCCTTTCCCTGGTCTCTAGTCAGAAATCAGATGGAAATTGCTGAGGGAGACTGGGAAGGTCTGAACAGAAGCTCCGAATGAGGCCCCCTCTCTGCACATCAACTTCTCTGCCTAAGGCCTCCGGCCCCTCCTCGTTTCTCCACCTTGGTTGCGCCCAGCCCAGGCTGAAAGTCATCCTGTTAGAGAGGGCGTTTTGCAGTAAACTCATTTTACAATGGAGCCCCACCCTAGAAGTCCCTCAGCTGATGGAAATTTATCTCCTGTTGGTGGGCAGCTGTGGTGGAAAATGACCTGGAACAGCATAGCCCACCATGACCCAGCTCAGCTCTTCAGTACCGCTGTCATCAAAAATCCCAAGGCATCAACAGCCAACAGAAAGCCTCAGGCTTCTGGGGTAACCACCATCAGTGGAGAAGATGAAGGCAGAGCTCCCTGGACCAAGGCTCATCTCCATTAGCAAATGGACAGTTGTCCCTTTAATAGCCCCACCCTCAAGTTAAAGGAACCCCTCGCTACCCCCAGCCTGACAAGTCTGCCCTGGACTGGGAGTAGAGCAATGTCCCTCCCACGGGTCCCTTCTGAAGCTGCTACCAGATGCGTCCATGCACTAAGCAGGATGGACAGATGACCCTCTCCTCCGCCACTTCCCACCCTGGGCCCCTTCTCCCTGGGCCCCTCGCACATGCCTCCTGCCTTCTCTCAGGGACCGGCAGCTTTGAACCCACTTCTCCCTCCGTCAGGGCCCACACATGCCATACACCATGGCAGGTTTCTCAAATTAAAGAGAGGTGGGTTACTCTTGGTGCAGGGTCAGGGATACGAAGTGAAGGGTTCAGGAGGCGCAAGGTTGGCCCTGGGACCCTGGTTCCAGAGAAGCACACCAGAGAGGGCAGGCAAGGGCACACTGTACAAGGTGGAGTGGGAGAAAGACAGGGCACGAGGGGGGCCACAGGGAGGAAAACAGGGCACGAGAAGGATGCAGGACCAGCCGCCTGTTACTTGGCGCCCCCGTCGGCATTGCCCTCACCGTCTGTCTTGCCCTCCTCCTCTGTCTTCAGGTCATCCGTGCTCAGTTTCTGCTCTTTTTTCCTCCTCACGCACTTCACTATCATCAGCACCAAGATGACCACAGCCAGGAATCCCCCCACAGAGGCTCCCACGATCACTGCCACTGTGGAATCCCGCTCAGGGGGCTCTGGAGAGGGAAAAGAAACAGACCCACTGAACCCAGGGCTGGAAAAGGGAGCCTGCCCATTGGCCCCTGCTCCTGTAGTATGTGTGGGGTGCTCCTAAATATACCCTTCTCCATGGAAAGCACTTCAGGCAAAAATCAACCCAGACTATTTACCTCTAAGTCCCCCACCCCAAAATCCCAGGGTGCCTAAAAGCCCCAGGGGAGGGCAATATAACACAGTATTTAAGAACATGGATTTTGAGATCAAATAGACCCAAAATTGAGTCCTGATTGTGTTACTTATTAATTGTGTGATCTTAGATAACATCCTCTCTAAACCTCAGTTTCCTCATTTGTAAAATAACAGTATCTCCCTCACAGGGTTTTATGAGGATGAAATAACATAATGCGTATAGAAAGTTTAGTCCTATAACTGAGCATAGTAAGCACCCAATAAATATGAATGCTGCTATAATGATTCCTAAGATCATGATTGTGATTCATAGCATTACAAGGACCCTCTGAGACATGTTGCCACGTCCCACATCCTTAAAGTCTGGAAGAAAGAAAACAGATGCTCTGTACTCAACACAAGCTGTCGATCCCTCTGCTCAGGAGGACACAGCCTCCCCCAAGGAGCTCTGAGCTAATACCACTAGAGAGCAGTTGTGGACGGTCACTGGCCAGGAGTGGTGAGGGGTCCCCACTGCAGCCCTGTGGCCCTCTGCCTGCTTGCCCCTCACCTTCCATGAGGACCTGCAGGTGGATCCTGCCATGGCCACGGTGGCGGTCGGGCGGGTTCATGATGTAGCAGTTATACAGGCCTTCGTCCTCGATCCGCACGTTTTTCAGCGTCACTGACACGTCGTATTTGCTGGGGTTCCCCGAAAACTCCACGCGGTCTCGGAACCGCTCCAACTTCAGGTTAATGATCTTCATGCGGAACTGAAGGAACTGGAGGTGGGCAAGGGACAAGATGGGGGACTGGATGAGCAAGGAACTGCAAGGAGAGTGGGATGCCCATCCTCCTGTGCGTTCTTTACCCAGAAGACAGATAGTTACCTCTAGACCTCCACCGCCCCTCCCAGGGCCGCCCGGGCATGACAACACCCTTTCTGCCAAAGCCCTCCGGAGCAAACAGCCCACCTCTACAGGGTCCTGGTCCAGCATGGGGGCAGGTGGCAGGAAAGGTGGGCCTCATGCTCCAGGGGCTCCTGCCTCCTTCCCTAACCCCACCTTCATCCCAAGACTCACCATCTCCTCAGAGCAGTTACTACACTCCTGGTAAGTCCAGTTCAAGGAGAACTGTTTGTGGTTCACTGTGTAGCAGGAGTTGAAGGTGCAGGCCAGGCGAGCATCAGAGCCATTGAGCACATTGAGGGTAGTAGGTACTGTGACTTCCATGCTCCGTCCTGGTGGCACTGCAGACAAAGCCACAAGCTGGTGAGTCTTCTGGCTAATAGGAACAGGGAAGGACAAGCCTGCTGTGTCTGGTGAGAAGTGGAGCAGAACTATGGCTAGGGGCTGAGTCTTGTATGGCTGAAATTGGCCAGGGGGCAGGGTGGGGTGGGCAAAGTTCATAAGGGGTAACTGATGTGGCCCTGGGGGTAAAAATGGGAAGCAGAACAAGGCTGGGGTAGAGAGAAGCCAAATCACCTGTCAAGCCAGGTACAGACAACTGGCCCCAAGCCTTTTCTTGGACCATTATCGGGCAGCAACTCCCCCTGGCCATCCTGCTCCAGTCCTGCCATTGCTGCCTGCTAGCTGAAGACGGTGGGAAAAAATTTCCACTGAGCTGGTCTCAGTTTCCCCCATCTTCTCCATCACTCCCAACCATCTCTGCTGAGCCAAAGTCCTTCCAGGTGAAGGAGGAGTGTCCTTGATGGAGCAGGCAGCATTGAGCACGAGGACAAATGGAGATTCACAGGGCCCACACTCTATGCCCCAAGGCCAGAGCAGTGGCCAGCGCAGCTCCTTTACCATCCCCATGTTTCCAGCAGGCAGGGATGAGGGCAAACAAGCAGTGGGAGGGAAGAGGTGCCCCAGAACAAGAGATGCAGTTCCAAGGGACCAGGTGAGTCTACAAGGACAAGAGTCCCGTTGGAGGTGTCAGGCCTGGAAACGCTACAGCAAGACACCTGGTCGGGCTGAAAGGGTAACAGGGTGGGAACAGAAGATTTCTGTGGAATTCCACCAAGACTCAGTTCAGGAGACCTGGTTATGGGACTGAGAAAGGCCTGTCCCTCTCTGGCATTCTAAGCAGAGCAGAGTCTCGGGTGAGGCAGTAAGCCAAAGCTGCAGCGCCCTCCATGGAACAGAAAGCCTGCAGCACAAACGTTAAGGGGGTACCCACTCTCAAAGTCATGCAATACCTCGCTCCATTTTGCATCCAGTCACCTTACTTGCTTTACCCTAATGCTGGCCTTAATTCTAAGATTCTCTGCCAATAATGTCAAAGCCTCATGCCAAAAGATTAATTTACTTATAGAGAACAAACAGTAATGTTCAGCATCAATCATTCATTCACTCATTTACCAAATATTTATAAACTACCTACTATGTTCTCAGTCTAGGCCCTGGGGGATATTGTTGTGAACCAGACAGGCAGAGTTGCTGCAACATGGAGCCTGTATTCTAGGGAGAGGACAGAAATTAACAAGGAAAGAAAAGAATAATGTGACATGACATGGGTTGTAAGAAATTAAGCGAGGTAATGAGGTGTTTTATATCAGAAGTGAGGGAAGGCTGCTCTGAGCAGGTGACATGCAGGCGTCCCCTGACTAAAGTGAGGGAGTGAGCCACTTGAAATTTTAAAGGGATCAAGTTCCAAAGCAGCAGAACATCAAGAGGAAAGTCCCAGTGGCTGGATTGAGCTTCGTGTGTCTGAGGCACAAGGAATAGAGTGTTCAGGAGGGCAAATGGTGAGACCTGAGGTCCCAGGGTCAGGCAGGGACCAAGTTCAGGGTCTGTGGGCCAGAACACGGACTCAGGATCCAATTTCTTGGAGTGATACAGGAAACCACTAGGGACTGGGAACAGGGGCAACTAGGAAGCTCTAGGCAAGAGCTGCTCATGTCTTTACAGGAATAGCATAGACATAAAGATCTGATTAGATGTGGGTTCAATCTCTGCTCTGCCTTCAATCAATTAAGAGACCAGGGGCAAGATCCTTCACCCTCTAAAACTCAGTCCCCTCCTCTGTAGAACACAGCTGATGACTCTACCTCCCAGCACTGTTATAATAATTAAATAAGATAAAATATATAAAGTACAGTGCACAGTCTGCCTGACAGTGAGTCCTCAGCATTTGGGAGCACTCATCCTAAATTCTCTTCAAGGCCTGCTCACCTAGACAGGAAGGGTTCTAGGGCAGCCCCCTGGCAGAGGGCACCTTAGAGCATGGCCCCTTCAGGACTCCATTTTCAAACTGTCCTGTTGTGCAAAGCTGCAGGGCCCCACCCCGCTGCAGTCTGGAAGCGGGGATACCAAGTCCTTCTGCCCAGCCCGGCCCTTAGGCTGAGTGGCCAGGCCAGTCGGCAGGACTTATGAATAGGAGACACTCTGAACTGCTGGCCCTAGAGGTCAAAGCAAAGAGGCCTTGGCCTGTATGGAGGGATAGGCATGCAGGCCCAACTGCAAGGCCAGGTCTCCCAGGTGTGCACTAAACTCACTAGGGAAGTATGAACTGGAGAGGCAGAGTGGACCCACCAAGGAGAACAAAGCCCAGTTCCCCCTCTCCACGTTTATATCATTATGAAAGCATCTAGTACAGCTCCAGGCAAGGAGGAGGTGTGCAGAAAATGTCATCACCGCCCCCACTCTGCAGAGGCAGAGAAATCTGCAGAGAAGGAGGCTGGCGGGGCCTTGTCCTGAGCTTACCTCATCTCCCAGAACTCCCTGCTTCTCTAGCACTTTCCCTTGAAAGGGTCCGCTACCTTCCAGGGCCGCCAACCAAAGGAGCCTCCAGGAAGTAGGTGCTGTAAACCTGGCTGACCCATGCTTGGCCTCTGTCCCGTCCCAATCCACAACATCATTCCATTAGAACTTGAACCCCATGAGGCAGCACCCTTCATATTGAAGAAGACGGCACCCTGCCGCATAGGAGGTCAGAGACATGGGGAGCAAGGGGCCTTTTGTGGCTGGCAGGTGGGACTACAGACAGAGAGGTGCAATGCAGGGTCAACCTCCGCGGTACCCCTTCCCCCCCACCCCCCTCCTGGACATTGGAGCCCTTCAGGAAGCACTAGGTGGAATACACATGCCCTCTACTGGTCAGAGAGGTCCACGACCAAGTCCCAACTGCTGAGTAAAGGAATAGGGAGTTACCAAATCAGAGGAAGCCAGAGTGGGGACTCTCAGGAATTGGGGATCTAGCCCTGTTGTCTTACCAATAGGGAAAGTGAGACCCTGAGAGAGAGACACACACACAGAGTATGGGGCAAGCTGGGGCCAGCACCATGGTTTCTGACTTCTAGTCCATAATACCTCGCCTGGACCTCAGGCTCAAGCCAGGTGCCTTAGGCCTTTCGTCCATCCAGGCCCTCATTAAAAACAAGAAAACCATCCCAACAAGGTCAGAGCTATAAGCAGAATCTTGACTGCTTGATGAATTCTGCAGCTTCAGGAAAGTATCAAATCCACAGCTACGGCTACCAAAGGATGGAATAATACCAAGGTGCTTGCTGCGTTATAGGCACTGTTTAAGCACTCTGGAGATACTACCTTGTTTAATACTCACGGTACACTACTACTACACCCCCACCTTCGCAATGAGGAAATTAAGCACGAAGCAGTTAAATGAGTATCCCAAGCCAGTAAGTGGCAAAGTTAGATTTGAACACAGATGCCAGGCTCTGGAGAGAAGGTTGCAGGATTGAGGCTGGGTGGGGGTGTGATTGTTTTTCAAGGTTTCCCAAGGACCAGATCTCCTGCCGTCTACACAGTAGGTCCAGCCACCATCACTGGGCAGGTTTGCCAGAAGGGAATCATTCTATTTAAAGGAACTTCCATACCAGGGAGCCCTTAGTCTTCCTGGCTGTTTGTCTGGGATCAGACCTGGGACCTGGGTCTCTTCGTTTCCAACTCACAGAAAAGAAGTGATGATCAACAGAGGTGCAGTAAGGATGTAGCTTTTGATCTTAGTTCCAAAACCTCCCTAGTGCCAGGCCTCCCCATTTTCTCCAAGGTGCATCGGGCCCCTTAGGCACCATGCCATCTACTGTTTTCACTGGCCCATCTTGTAGTAATCACAAAATGTCCTCATCTCCTGCCAAACACTATCTCCTGCAGAGACTAGAAGTCAATTCTCTTCACTCTTCTTTCCAAGCCTGTGGCAAACTATGAGGTAGGTTTATTTTCTTTTTGGTTAAAAAAGAGAGAGAGAGGTCTAAGCAGAGAAGTTATCTCTATGATCTTCCGGTCCACACTGCCTCCTGGGGTAGCCCCCGCTTCACGGGTGACTGTGAAGCCCAGCTCCTGCCTCCTGCCCTGCCTTATCATTCAGACTCACCCCCATTCCCGCGCAGCCCTGACAGCAATTCACCCCAAACATCCACTGGCTTCCTGTTGCTCTCAGGATCAAGTCCAGGCTCCTGCACGTGGCTTCCGAGCCCTTTGCACTCTGGGACCAGCCTCCATGCTCGTGTCCTGTCCTGCCAGCTTCCAACCCTCTGTGCTTCCTCCCCTTCTTACCCCAGAGTTCTTACTTTCCTAAAAACACTACTTTCTCTCACTGTTCCTTCTTTCACAATGTAACACATGTTTTTGCCTCAAGTTGGGAAGCTAGTTCACCCTTCTGCACCTGGGGTCTTCCCACTTATACTGCAGACGCCAGCTTGTAAGGTATCGCCTAACAGCCTCCCAGTGCCTGTGCCCTTTCCCCAGCCCTGTTCTTCCAATTCCACACGGCTCGGAGTCAGAATGACATAGTGGCCTAGACAGGGGCCCTTAGTGCCCTGACCTGATCTTAGGCAACATACTTAACCTCTCAGCGCTGCAGCTTCCTCACCTATGAAATGGGGGACAATAAAAGGACCTCCACTTGTGGGCTGTTGTGAGGATTAAATAACTTACTAGTGTATAAAGTTCACAGCAGTGCCTGGCACATAGTCAGTCCAGGACAAAGGTTGGCTGCTACTATTATCATCATCATTATTATTATTGTTATCACAGCATATTCGATACTGTGTTGCAGTTGTTTATGTGCCTGCATCCCTCCTGAGGCTCTGGGGAACTGATTCTTATGCATCTTGGTATCCCTTAGACCCAGAACAGTATGTGACACTCAAGAGAAGTCTGTAGAATGAAGGAAAGGCATTGCCCCCCATCCCGCCACATCTGGGTCCCAGCAGTAGATATGTTCAGTGGGACTGAGTGAGGGCCAGACTCTATTTCTAGGCCTTGCCCAATAAAACCCAGACTTTGGTAACCAGGCTAGTGACCAGAAGGCCAATGGTTTTGAGAAAAACTCTGGGGAAGCCCAATCATTTGGACTTTCTAGCTAAAAACTAGTCTCCCATGCTTTTGTTTCATGTACAGCAGATTGCCCAGCTTTTCCCCTTTGCCAGCTGTCTGGTCATCCTTGCCAACTCAGGCCCAGACAGTTTCCTCCCTTGTCACTTGTAGTGTCCCTCCATCTTGAGGACTGATGCTACTACAACCCCCAAAGTTCCATTGTCCACCTCAGCCCTCAGCTCGGGTGTACCAGGGTGAGCCTCACCACAGCGCCAATCAATTCATGTTCAGTGTCTCCCTTCTTGCATCCTCTCCCCAGCCTGGTTTGCAGAGGCTTTAGCTTCCTTTCACCACATCACAGCCCCCATGTGCTAACCTTCTCACCCCAGAATCCATCTTTCCCTAAGCCCTATCCTGGTTACTGAGCCCCTTCACTTAAATAAGGCTCTCACAGGACTGTCTCCCTCCCGCAGGAAGCTCTCCCTAACTCCAGATGGAGGTCACCTGTCCTGCATCCCCCACTTTTTGTGTGTAATTGAGATTCTGTGATGAATTAGGTTAATCTAGCAGTAACATTCCTGAAACATTGGGAGCAGTAGAGTTCAACAGTTAAGAACATGCTGAAGTCAGACAAACAGGCATTCAAATTTCAGCTCACCTTAAACTCGTAATGTGACCTTATTGGGCAAGTTACTTAAGTTTTCTGTACCTGTATCCTCACCTGTAACATGAGGATAATTAACAGTATCTACCACATACAATTACTGACTACCGTGAAGACAAAACAAGGTGTACAGTGCTTGGGCACGTGAAATACATTCATTAAGGTTACTGCCTATTGTTGAACACCTGACCGACTTACATGCCAGACTCACAGAAACCCAGGCAATAGATATTCTCCAGTTCATCCATGAAAGAACTGAAGCTCAGAGAGGTTGAGTAACTTGTCTATGGATATGAAACAAATGACACAGGTGGCTTTCAACACAGATCAGACTCCTAGGTTCACGCTCTTCTGTTCTGCCACATATTCCTGCTCTGTCGTTAAGAGGTCCAGTAACCCAGCAAAGCTAATCCAGCTTATCATGCAGGAGCCCAGGGCCTCTGCACTGCCTGTTTAGCACTCCTACCAAATAGTGCAGCGTGGCACACCAGAGAAGACAGGCTTTTTGATGGGGAATATTCCTACTGACAATCCTCGGGCCGTACTGTCAACTGCTACATCAACAAGGAGTAAGTTCAGGAGCAAGAATGAAACCAGCAATAAAGCAATCTTGCAAATAACTCTCCAGCCCATCTATCCACCAAAAATCCCCATGAATGGTCAAATACGAAATTAACATTTGGATCACTTGACAGGGCAGTCTGCAAGGCAAGGCTGGGCTGGACATTTCTGAGACATGGTCTTAAAGGGCCACAGCTCACTGGCCCATGGTTTCCTTTTCTTTCCTGATCCCCTCATCTGACCCTTCCCCCACTCCCTGAGACCCAAGCCAGAGGTGACTTCTGCATCAGTGCCTGCGACAGTAAATCTCCTCACAATCCAGAGATAATTCTTCAAGCCTCCCACCCACTCCCCAACACATTTCAAAAAATCAGTGATACAGGTTTCCAGGAAGCCAGGCCCAGAGTCAACTTTCTGCCCCCAACTACCCCACACAGTGTCTCCTAGTATCATATTTCCACCAGATTCCAAGGATTAAGGTTCACAAAAGAAGCCCCTTAAAGGAGCATTAAGTCTCAGGACCCCACACTTGCAGCCCATTTTAAAAATTTTTTAAAAATCCATAAAGAGCCTCTGTGGATGGATCTACCTGCTCGCTTCCCCCACCCCCAACACACACACAGAGGTCCACTTCAAGGCAATCTAAACAAAAATCGGCTCCCTTGACAACTGTCATCCCCAAGCCACACTGAGCATTTCTGTGACCAAGCAGTCCCCGCGTCATACAGTCCCCACCATCGTCTCCCCAGTTCCGGCAGCTTTCTTCCCAAGGACACCAAAGAGAAGCTCCAGCCACGTCTTCTTTCCTGCCCCTGCCCCCATCCTCTTCTAGTCGCGGCTGCCCTTCTGGACCCTCAGAAGCATGCAGATGCGCAGTGTAACTTACCCAAAGAGAGAAAGAGACTGAGCCCTGTGAGGCTGAAAGCAGGGCGAGGTAGCCAGGCATCTTTGTGCATTTTCAGAGACTGAGATGTTAGTCAGTATATGGGAGAGTGTGATGTGAGGGGACGAGGGCTACAAGGGAGGAACTGTTAGGTGCTAAAAAGAAATGCACAGGTGTACTTCAAAGACACATACAACATTAAGGAAGCTTTATTTCCATCTCTCTAATATGGCCGGCCTGTATGTTGCTGCTTAAAAGAAAGAGGGAGTGTGTAAGGGAGAGAGAAAGAAAGGGGGGGGCGGGGGGGGGGGTGGAGTAAATTTTGTGGTTGTTGGATTTCAAAAAGCAGGTGGGAGGGCATAAAAAATCTTTCCGAAAAGAAGGATGCCCAGAAATTTTTACCCTCTAAAACAAAAACTAAAGCAAATTCTGTCTTTCTTCTTAACTGGGATCATGGTTGTTTTTTGAAAGCGTTAGAGGAACCCATTTATTTCAAGTCTTCTGTAAAGGTGAGGGTATCTTCTTGTCATTTAAAAACACCCCCAAAGGAGGTACTTGTTTTTATATTATTTGGAAAGAGTTCCAGGAAGTGAGTCAGGAGACTTTCAGGAAGTAAGGACTCCCTCATTTTTCTAGCATTTTCACTGAAAAAAGAATATGTCAAAGCAAGCCAGTGTAAAAACACCTAAGAGATCTTAATTCTAATCTAATGGGAATCAAATCAACAGTAAAAAGACATTTTTGAGACAATTGGAAAAAAATAAACATGGACTGGGTATTATATTAATTAAAAGTTCTTAATTTTGGGGGGTGTGATAAAAATATTGTGGCTATGTTAACATTTTTATCTGTTACACACACCAGAGTGTTTACAGGTGAAATAATATGATGACTGGAATTTGCTGTAAAATATTCTAGGATTTAAAAAAAAAAAAGGCAGGGAAGTAGGTGTTATTGATTGTTGAAACTGGTGATGGGTGCCAAGGGTTCATTACAGTTCTCTCTTTTCTCATGTTTAAATTTCTTTTCTTTTGAAAAAGGAAGAAAATATAGGCTAATATCACAAGTAGGAAAACTTGAGGTGGAGTGCCAAGGAGACCCTAAGCAGAGAAGTGACCCCCACTTTTCTGGGAAGACATTCAAGTAGAACACAAGTTTTCATGCAGCAATCACATGCATTTTTGATGGGCCATTGATGTACCAAAGAAGTTGCAACTAATATTTTTGAGCATTAACTCTGTGCCAGGCACCTTACAAGTGATTCCTCAACTTGTAGCCCTGGGATAGGTGATTTTTTCTTTTTCTTCTCCTCCCCCTCCTCTTCCCCTCCCCCTCTTCTCCTGTCCTTCCCCTCCCCTTCCTCTTCCCCTTCCCCTCCTCTCCCCTGCTCTTCCCCTCCCCTCCTCCTCCCTTCCCCTCCTCCTCCCTTCCCCTCCTCCTCCCCTCCCCTCCCCTCCTCCTCCCCTCCCCCTCCTCTTCCCCTCCCCCTCCTCTTCCCCACCCCGCCTCCTTCTTTTATATATTGCAAATGAGGAAACAGGTTGACAGGACTTAACCACCCAATTTTACATATATATAGTAGTGAAGAGCAGACTCAGAGCCAGCATTCAAACTGAGTCTGTGTGAAACACTGGGTGTTTCCAGTATTCCATGTTGCCTATCATATACATGGAAGAGAAGACTGGAATGGATAAGCAAGGGGTCTCTGCCTGTGATATAAAAGAAGGTGGCACGGGCAGGACATGGAGAAACAAAATGGGATGCCAGCTCAGTGCTTGGCTCAGACCAGGCACTCAGTAAACAGGAAATGCCTAGTTGCACAGGGACACCCCTGCATGGATGAATGAATTTGGAGAGGGAACAGGGGCAAGTAGACATCATGACTAAAGTAGTGAAATCCAGCCTAGGTCGCTGCAGCTGTTCTAGGCTAGGGAGGAGTGAAGTGGGCTGGATTTTGGTGAGAAGATGGCCACTGTTCCCCACCACATCAGAGTGTTTGTCCATGCCTCGATCTTGCACAGACTCTGTCCCCAAAGGACCTCTGTCAGTTCACGAGAGCCTGGCTGTCGCTGTCTCATCCATAGGATGCGCAATTCATAGGAATGAAAATCAGGGAAGGAGAAAAGGGGCAACCTGGGAGAAAAGTGCCCTCCAGTGCCACAGCCAGGCTCCTCCCCACTGCCCCCAGGCCCAGGCCTCCTCCACAGTCAGCAGTGGCCAGCACTCAGGTGCACCTGGAGGGACAGACGACACCATCAGGGCCTCAGCTCCTGCTCTGGACCCTCAAAACGGGTCCCAGGCTGCAGTACAGCCACCCAGGCTGCCGCAGGCACATGTCAGCCAGAGAGTTTTGGTTTGATGTAGCCGGCCTGCTCCTTTTTCAAAATGCTGCTGAAAACGGCTGTGAGGCCCAGGGAAGCCACTTATCCAGCTCGCTTGGTCTTGCACTGGGTCCAGAAGCTTCCATCTGGGGACATCTGAAATAAGAAATGGATCCAGAAGTTTCTCTGTTTCTATTCAGTATTTGACTAAGAGAAACCAGGTATGTAACTCTTACAACAGGAAGATCAGAAGATATCAAATCAGGGGTGAGGTACCCTCACAGTGTGAAGCAAGAGGAGAGCTACCCCAGAGCCTCCCTGTGGCTCACTTGGGCCTCCAGATGCTCATTTGCTCCAAGAGACTAAGTCTTCCCTGGGAGCTAATAAGAAACTGGGAAACAGAGAGTCAAAGTTATTTTGCAGAATGAAAATACCAATATCGAAGACAGGCTATTGGGAGAGTGAAGCCCTATTTTTGGCATCTCCACCAAGTACCATTTATCCCTGCACATTTTACTAGATAACAGTTACCTTGTCCTGCTGGGAGAAGCAGTATTACAAATAATCCAAAGGAAGATAGTTTTCTTGGCCTTTGGCCTAGTTGGAGCCACAGAGAAACTCCCTGGCCATATTTGCCTTAAAGCCTCGCTTCTCAAAGGGTGGTCCTCAGACCAGCATCAACAATATCACCTGGAAGTTCCTCAGAAATACAGTCACAGGTCCCACCTCAGAGCCAAGAAATCAGAATCTTTATTTTCAACAAGATCTCCAGTGATTCATGGCAACATTAAAGTTTGAGCAGTATTGACTTCAATTAATATTAAAAGGTTTGCATCCCATGAACATGGGGCCAGGTTTAGGGGGAGGGGGTTGGAGAAAAGGGACCAGTAAGCAGGAGCAAGCTTAGACTTACATGCTGGCCTCAGGTGAATTGCAGAACACTGGCAGCTTGCTCAGGAGAAACAAGATAGGGATCCATTTCACTCCCCTCTTTTCTCTGTCCCATTGGCATCTCAAGCCATTCCATACCAGGTGAGGCTTCTCTTATCCTGCATTGGGTTTCACATCTTAGTATCTTTGCCTTTGCAGTTCCCTTTTCCAGGAATGCCCTTCCTCTCTTGCCTGCTCAGCAAGCTCCTAGTCTTTCTTCAAAAACCTGCTACAACGTCACCAGCTTCTTATATTCTACATACTTCTCTCTTTGCTCCTATGACACTGGGTGCATTCACCCGTTTGCACATCAATTCTTGCATTCAACAAACAAATATCTATTTAATGTCCCATATGTGCCAGACACTAAGCTAGAAACTGGAAACTCAGAAATGAATGAGACACGATTCACCCTTTGGGAGCTCACATTCTAGATAGGGAGAAAAATGTATAAACTCTCAATATAGCACGAAGAGGACAATCTCATTTACTGAAGGATGGGAACAAAAGTACACCCGGTATTTCTTGGGTCTCCATGTTAAGAAGAGCCAGAGAGTACTGTCATTTTTATTGACACTTCCCCAACTAGACTATAGCTCTTTAAGAACAGGGATTGTGTCTTACTCTTCTGTGTTTATGTGGGGCCTCTACTGGTTCATGAGCAGATGAGAATGGATGAATGTCAGTTTTATATCCAGAGAAAGAGTAGAACCTCCATCAGCCTGACCTTACACACAGCCTTACACAGAGGTCAAACTGGGACTGGGAGCCAGCTCCAGCACATGCTGTTCCATGCCATCCCTCAGGAACTTTATTCAACAACAGACCTTTCCACATGGGGTGAGATGCTGCAAAGCTCACAGAAAAGACCTAAAGCAGGATCTCTTAAGAACTTAGGAGCTCTGGAAGAAATTAAAGACTCACATCCGTAAAATAACTAGAGAACATAAGAATATAAGATCTGGTAAGCGTGAAGACATCTAGGAAGACATGAGAAACAGGAAATCACCAAAGCAGGAATCAAGCCACACCTTGAAGGAATATTGATTTGGGCAGGCAAGAAGGGAAAGGGAATTCCAGGCAGAGGAACACCAAGATCAAAGGCTCAGAAGCAGGAAAGACAAAGGTGTATGTAGCAAAGATTGCTGTCATGGAAAAAAAAAATGGAAGGTGTGGATGGGTAGGCAAGGTGGTACCTGAATTCGGAAGGCCATGCACACGCCATGTGGAGTTCAGACAGGTGCTTTGGAAGTCCTGGGACAGGCAAATCATTATTGCTCTCACCACAAAGGTCTTAGCCTTCTGAGAAAACTCTGAGTTCCCTTATTTTTTAATAAAGAAAAGATGTTTTGAGAGTTGGGTTTACAGAAGTGGTAATGGATTGCTTGATCTCCCTTGAGGAAGAACAGACCACATTTGCAAACCAACTGGCCAGGACAGGTCAGTAGTCCTGGGAAACTTTGTTTCTGCTTAGTAAGAGGATAACTTGTCTGCTGGGATAAAACTTGCAACCTAAGGCTCTTTGGCTCTGAGTAACTGAGCTAGTTCAGTAGCAGCATGACCCCTGCCAAACACACACTCACAGTGTTTTTTGTTTTTTTTTAAATGCCGACATGGACATGTAAGCATACTGACCAAGCAAAAGGAGAAAAAGAGTGAGGTGGCAATGAGGAACAAAAGACTGAAGCGCTGGTGGAAGGATGCAGCCTTTTAAAGAAGACACATCTTGTCCTGGCTGGTGTGGCTCAGTGGGTTGAGCACCAGCCTGCAAACCAGAGTTGCCAGTTCAATTCCCAGTCAGAGCACAGGTCTGTGTTGCAAGCCAGGTCCCCAGTAGGGAGCAAGTGAGAGGCAACCACACATTGATGTTTCTCTCCCTCTCTTTCTCCTCATTAATAAATAAATAAAATCTTTAAACAAAAAAGATGATGATGACATGTCTTTTACAGGTCCTCAGTAGAGGGACTGAACTCTTTTCAGTTCGAATAGCTGATCTCTAATGCTACCAGATTCTTCATT